ATGTATATATATATGTGTGTGTGTGCGTGTATGTGTATGTGTGTTTACAGGTGTGTAGATGTGTTGTATTTGCCTATATTTCCACGTATAACATTGCTTCATTTGATGAATATATCCATACATGCATGTTACTTCCATTCAGCACTTATTCCTAATTGCCAGTGCTATCGGTCAAGGCCATGGAATGCTACTACTCTGCAGTGTGAGAGGATGTGTGTCACTACTAGAAGCAGGATCTCGGCGCACAACGTACATCTTATACACTTTCATGCATTCCTATCTATATATAAAACTCCTAATCTCTACACTCACATCTTAAACCCTTTCATACATAACCACTTGCAGTTGTCCACATATACACTCCTCATCTCTACAATCACATCTTATACCCTTTCATACATAACCACTTGCACTTGTCCACATATACACTCCTCATCTCTACAATCACATCTTATACCCTTTCATACATAACCACTTGCACTTGTCCACATATACACTCCTCATCTCTACAGTCACATCTTACACCCTTTCATACATAACCACTTGCACCTGTGCATACATTCATACGTACAACTTGCACCATACTGTTTTTATGAGAGTGTTTCGACAAAATCAAGATTGTATTTATTTATTTTAGATACAAGTACAGTTCGGTGCCAAATATATCCAATAAATCAACCTATGCTCACGCATGCAGTCACACACCTCACCGATACACGCACTGCTTCTACCATGTACTCACAACCCAATTTCTCTAACCAACCCTACCACTACTATACACACATCTCACCTCTACACCTACTGCTTCTACCATGCACACAACTCAATCTCTCTAACCAACCCTACCACTACTATACACACATCTCACCTCTACACGTACTACTTCTACCATGCATACACAACTCAATCCCTCTAACCAACCCTACCACTACTATACACACATCTCACCTCTACACGTACTACTTCTACCATGCACACACAACTCAATCTCTCTAACCAACCCTACCACTACTATACACACATCTCACCACTACACGTACTACTTCTACCATGCACACACAACTCAATCTCTCTAACCAACCCTACCACTACTATACACACATCTCACCTCTACACGTACTACTTCTACCATGCACACACAACTCAATCTCTCTAACCAACCCCACCACTACTATACACAAATCTCACCTCTACACCTACTGCTTCTACCATGCACACACAACTCAATCTCTCTAACCAACCCCACCACTGCTAGGTCGAGGATGCGGAGAGTAGTGTGAAATACTACATCAATGTATGCGAGCGTGTGGATAGTGATGATGATAGCATGGAGTGTGGGCGTAGTGGGGGGGTCTGTATGCAGAAGGTGACAGCAGAGGGTACCGCTGAAGAGGCTACTAACATGGGCGCGGCCAATGGCAATGTGTTGTATGAGAATGGTAGGTATTTGGTATTTGGTATTTGGTTTTATGAGAATTGGAGGTGTTTAATATTTAGTATACAGTAATGTGGATGCGATTTTGTAGGGAAGACATTTATGTGCCTGGTTGAGGTACATGAGCGCATGTGTCTATGTGCGCGAGCAACGGTTGTATGGACATGTATACATGTGTGTGCCTCAGCGTTATCTTTGTATCCATTACATGCCTGCCTCACACATACGCACTCACGCACATATACACATATACTTATATATTCATATATATATACATATATATATACATATATATATATATAAATATATGTGTGCGTGTGTGTTTATATGTATATATGTTAATGTATATGTTAATGTTAATGTATATGTATGTTTGTA